CGCGTGTACTTAAGTTATACGTATATATATATATACATATATATATATATATAAATATATATATATATGTATAAATATATATGTATGTATGTATGTATGTATATACGTAACATATTATCACAAGAATCGCCCACACGCGTCGCGCCCTGTCAGTCGCAAGACCAGAACCTACTTTCTTCTAGAGAGGCTGTTTTCTTTCTTTTTTCTATTTTTTTTTTTCTTCTCTTCAATTTTTTTCTTTTTTTTTTTTCTTTTATATCTTTATACTACTTTAAGCCTCGAGAGAACTCCTCTTCTTGAATAGTCATAAAAAATAATATGGATTCATCCTCGCGTTCTTTTTCGATTCTGGAAGACCACAGCGCCGTCGTATTCTTTTCCTTTCTCTCTCTCTCTCTCTCTCTCTCTCTCTCTCTCTCTCTCTCTCTCTCTTTCTTTCTTCTATACTTTTATATACTTCCTTCATTATTTCACGTTTCTTTTCTTTCTCTGTATTATATATCCATTTCTTTTGCGTAATTAATTTTTATAAGATCGACGCGACTTTCTTCTTCAATAATCGTTTGTGCGTGTCAAGAGTAAAAATGTATATATGTAAATATATATATATATATATATATATATATATATATATATGTGAGTATATATGTGTGTGTATGTGTCTGTGTGTTTATGCATTTCTCTTTCTCCCCTCGAGAAAAATGTTGATTCTGATCTTTACGACGAAGTCGAGGTAATGTCGTAGATAATAAAAGAGAACGCGGATCGATAGATCTCCTATCCAATTAGTATCGTTATTCTATCGTAATAGATAATCGTTTCAAGTCGAATTTCAAATCGATAATACAATGCAAAATGTATATATTTGTACAGAAAAAAAAAAAAGAAAACATAAAAAAGAAATAAATGTTGCACTATTTTTTCTTTTTTCTTTTTTCTTTTTTTTTTTTTGCTATTTAAACGCACGCAATAAGATTTTCCTTAAGGGAGAAATAAGTCGATTATTGGATTATATGATGATCAATGGATACGCGTTCTCATTTCTTTCTTTCTTTTTTTTTTTTTTCTTTTTTTTCTTTTTTCTTTTCTTTTTTCCCCAAGTATAGAACATTTGAAAAATGTTCAGAACGCCGAGGAAACACATTATCTCATAATCATCGTCTTTGCATATCGCCGAACTCGTTCTACCAGCGTTTCTAATTCATTCTAATTGTTCGTCGTCACGTTATACGCCAGCTTACGTTTCCTTTCTAATCTTGAATACGTCATGTAAAGAAACTTTATTACAGTTAATCCTCTTACTATGATATTATATCTGCATGTATGTATGTGTATATATATATATTATTTTTTTTTTTTTTTCATAGGTCGCGTATATATATTTTTATATAGTCATATGTTCTTTCTTTCTTTCTTTCATTACGTCATATTGGAATTTTTTTTTCTCTTTGCTCTTTTACGAATTTTCAAATCACTGGTAGATACGTGTACGCGAATGTACAAAGAAGATAAAATTCCATTAGCATCGATTCATAATTTTTTCATTACTAACATTTTCTCTTTCTTTTTTTTTCCTTTTTTTTTTTTTTCTTTTCCTTTACATCCGTTTTTAAAATTCGCCTGAATTTACTCTCATAACCACATGTTTTATTTCTCTCTCTCTCTCTCTCTCTCTCTCTCTCTCTCTCTCTCTCTCTCTCTCTCTCTCTCTCTCTCTCTCTCTCTTATTTATCATCGTCAAACATACGAACTCATAAAAATACAAGATATCGACTATTTTCTCTGCGTAAAACTATCTTACGATATATATTTATGATGTATAACCAGTTTCTGTGTATTTATATTTATGTGTGTGTATATATGTGTGTGTGTATGTGTGTGTGTGCGCATATGTGTATTTATGTATATACTCGTGTATTTCTGGTGTCGTGTGTGCGTAGAACGTGCGTTGCTTATGCGGCTACGCTCGTGCGGTCGTGTAACACGATGCGCATGTGAACTCTCACGTTAATGCGTGTACATATGTAACGTATGCATATATCATTTCGTAAAAGGAGTCATTCGACGACGAAAATCATTTTTCTGTCGTTCTATCACGTAGAATAATATAATTATTAATTCGTAAATTAGACCGATCGTGTAATTATCGTTAATCAGTTACGTATATATGTATATATATATATATATATACATATATATATTTATGTATGTATGTGTATCACATATATATATATATATATATATATATATACATATATATCATATTTTTAAATACGTTTTTAGCCCATTTTGTTTGTTGTTGTTGTTGTTGTTATTCTTTTTCTTTTTTTTTTATTTTCGTTCGTTAGATAAACGCAGCCGCCAATGCTCGTTAATGTTTTGTTGCTCTTGCTTCTGTTATTCTCTTTCTTTCTCTTTTCCTTTTTCCAATTTTAATAATTTTTCCATTCTCTATTTATATTCTCATTTTCATTATTCCCAGTCGCAATTGAACTTTACGTTCATTCGAAATAATTATCTTGTATTTATATTTATATATACGTGCGTATTAACTCCCCCGAATTGAATGCAAGGATAGAAGAGATCGCGTCACGTTAAGACGTTCTCTCATTCTCTCGCTCTCGTTCTCTCGTTCTTGTGTACTTAAAATTAAATTAAAAATATGTGAGCCGATTCTAAATCTACATAAGTTCTAATTCGTACAAGATAGGAGAATTACGGCTTTCGACATAGCTCTTTTACTAGATTCGTCGACGCGTAATTGTGTTTCTAGGAAACGTACGATGCAATCGTTCGTATATGTATATATATAAATATATATATATATATACATACATAAATATATATATATATATGTGTGTGTGTATATATATATATAAACTATGCTTTTAAATCAAACGATAATTACAATAAAAATTCTTAATTAACTAACTTAAACTATTGTACATGAGCATATAAACGGCCCCAAGTTTCGGGGGCGAAACAATACATATTTCTTTTTTTTTTTTTTTTTTTTTTGTAAACCTTTTTTTTTCACTAACAACGAATTGAAAAATTGACGAATTATCATTAATAAGAATTAAAGATAGGTACACACCGTGCATTAAAATTACATAGATTATTTATCGATATTTTAAAAAACTATCCAACGAACGGAGTTAAAACTTCTCGCGAAACAAAATTCAAGGAAGAATAAGAGAATAAGATTAAAAATAAGAATAAGAATAAGAATAAGAATAAGAATAAGAATAAGAATAAGAATAAGAATAAGAATAAGAATAAGAATAAGAATAAGAATAAGAATAAGAATAAGAATAAGAATAAGAATAAGAATAAGAATAAAAATAAGAATAGGAATAATAATAATAATAATAATAAGAATAAGAATAGGAATAATAATAATAATAAGAATAAGAATAATAATAAGAATAAGAGCAAGAGTAAGAAGAAGAAGAAGAAGAAGAAAAAGAAGAAGAAAAAGAAAAAGAAGAAGAAGAAGAAGAAAAAGAAGAAGAAAAAGAAAAAGAAGAAGAAGAAGAAGAGGAATTAAACGATAGTTAAGACGTATTAAATAAAATTCTTTAGATACGAGCGAGCAAAAGGCTAATTCGTTGACGCTCTTCGTCTTACATATATATAAGTATATGCATAGGTAGACATCAATTATAATAAAAATCTCTCTCTAAAAAACGATTAATCCAAAAAG